TGAGAAGTAATATTTTCGATAAGGTTGTTGGTGATTTTGATCTATCAAAAAACTTGCCACACTCTGAACAAATCCAAATGGCCATACTTATTCGTTACATTTTTTTTCCTTTGAAGATGCATTTGTAATCATGGAAAGAAAATAAAAAAGTTTAAAAAAAAGTGACTAAAAAATCCACCTTGTATTCTCAAACTTTCCACAAGATTAAAAGTAAATTTAGATATACTTTTCAGCAAACACTAAAAAAAAAGTGACTAAAAAATCTAGAATGAATAATTTTTCTTCTTCATAAATTTAAAATAATTTATGCACTTTAACTTTTTAAAAAATTCTCTTATATATTTTTTCACAAATGAAACAATTAAAGAATTATGTGATTTTGTCGTTAAAAGATTCTAGCATAATTCTTTTAGTATAAACTATAAATTATGAAAGTAAAACTCTCATTTCAAATATTTAACACAATTTTATATTTATATATATATATATATATATATACATATATATATATATATATAATTTGAACTTAAAATTATCGGTTAATAAGTCAAAATTCAATCATATTAATTGATCTATATGTTCATCGATATTTGAATGCATATGATTAGAAAGCTAGAATGAGTTAGAAATTAAGCTCATCTAATTTGAACCTACTTATCAAAAGTTATTAATTACATACCATTTTGGTAATTACAAAATGAGGATTAGGCTTGTATTTACTAAACATTATATATATATATATAGAGAGAGAAAAAAGATTTATTTACCCTAAAAACTCAATAGCTTATATTGTACATTAAATTTCAACGATCCAATTCTTAAACTAAAAGTTCTTTATATATAGATAAAATTTATAAATTTTTAAAAGATCTTAAAATATATAGTACTTCATTATATAAATTTAAATCAATGTATAAAATGTTTTAATTATAATCTGTCAATTTGAATTAATAAAACAAAGTATCAAATTATTTTTAATTTTTTAAAAAATTGTAAACTTGATTTATGCATTAAGAACTTTTAATTTAACAGTTAAATCATTCAAATTTGATATAAAACATGAGTTATTGAGTGAAGTAAATTTATCAAGACTTAAATGAATCATTT